TCTTTCTATTGCAAGTCAAATACGTAATCGATTTTTGCCAGTTATACGACTTACATATACGCGAGAGCTTATTCTCCACTCAAGAATAAAAAAAATAATAAACGCGTAAGCAGAAAGTGGTAGCGCGAAAAGGCGAACAGAAGAATTGCATGAGATATGGAAACGAAACAGAAACAGAAAGAGATCGTAAGAAGGACAAAAGGAAAGCGATTGCGTGAACCCCAAAGAGACCAAGTAGAATAGAAGGGAGTTTCAGAGCGAGAGCAACAGAGAATGCAAGAATGAGGGGGAAAGAAGAAAGAGAGAGAGAGAGAGTGGAGAGGGAGAGAGAAAGAGGGAGAAACAGAATACGAGAAACGGAGTGAACAGTACACACCGCCGCGTAAATCTGTGCAAGAGAAGCTGGTACCGCTGCGTGCATGTACGTGGGCTGTCCGTGGCCAAACAATGTCTGTCCGAAACAGCCGCGATTTCTCTTATCGGGCATTCAAACGCTAAATAATGGTGCAACTTCTCCTTGGTCAACACCGACAACTCGGCCAGTCGCTTGTCCGACTAGCGCGCGACGGCACAAGCCCCAGGAGTAGTGAGCAAAATTTTACATTTCCCCGTCGTCGTTACCTGCAACTTGGTATACACGAATCGATCGATCGGAAAACGTGGCATTAACAATATCCGTTGTGCGCGCCAATTCATCGACCGCGGGCGACAAATGAGGTTTTAACTCTACCCGTGATTAATTTTTCGGAATCCAAATTTCGAGGCAAACGATGTACTAAACACGGATTTCCGCAATCGCCGACATAAATAGACGAATAAATTTTAACGTTTGCTGAATAATTTGTATACGACTGTATATAGCTATTTCAATTGCGTGTAAAAGAGCATTCCTCCGCCAGCGGCGTATTATTATGAGCGCACAAAATTAGTTCGGGCTAACAACAATAGACGCACGCCATATCTTAGCGTACTAACACCGTCATCTGGTATAGTGGTATCCGAACAGGCGCTCAAAGTTCCACGACTCTCATCTGAAGTCCGCCCTGTCGATACTTGCCTTGTCTCGCATAATTACTTTAGTGAACAATTTTCACGTTAACGGCGTCTGCTTTCGTGCGATGTCACGCACGTAGAGCGGAAAGACATTTGCACCCTATATCACGTAAGATCGTGAAACGATAATGAGAATGGCAGGGGATGGAAGGCGAAGTTACCGGGAGGCGGCAGTAGTGGTGGCGGTAGTGGTGGTTAGCGGACATCCGTTGAACACATATTTGGTTTGGGATCAGAGAGAATAATCCCCGGGATTACCCCTGGTTTTCACCTCCAATCGTACCCCCATCACTGCCTACGTTCGAGCCATCCGCTCATCCGATCGGAATATCGACCATGGATTTAAACGCCTTTCTGCCGAGCTTCGAAATCTCCGGATCGACTTTGGATTTCGTTGGAATGCCGCTAGAAATTGCTATGGATAGCGTCGTCTGGAACGACTTTATAACTAGGTTGGAAATTTTAAAACGATTCGGTCATTGAAAGCATGTTTGTCAAAAATGTCAAAAGATCTTTTTTTCATTCTGTGACATAAAATCTTTTTCCTTATTTTGTAAAAATCTTTTCAATTGTTACGTGAATAGGAAACATTCGACAACTAAAATATTGTTTTCATCGATGCTTATGAAAAGAACGTGTTTGAAAAAATATATATATATACATATATATTTTACGTTATGGTGTTACCGATATTTCCATGCATAATTGCATTAAATCTTCACAGTCTGATTAAACATTTAGCATCGACATTATTACAATGATAATAGAACAATTAAATCCAACAAATCCAATCGGCTATCACACGTTATAAGTTTATTAATAGAATACTATTTCTCTCTCATGCTGACGTCATTGGAATAATACATAGATAAAATATAACACGATCACAAAGCCAATTATTGGTTGATGAATAATGGATGTTCATGATCGCGGTTTTTTTACCGTCTGTATCGACTATTCCATGATGCATCGTGCTCGCTACGCAAAAAAATTAACGAGAGACCTACTTTTTTTTTTTTGTATAAGAAACGATTTTCAAAACAAAATTTAAGTCGAAAATACACCGAATGATTGTATCAAGAAAAATAAATCTCACGAAAAGGTCTTCACGATCTCGTGTAATATTTACAGGTACTTTACGAGGTAAGACCCTACTAAACGACTAAGCTGTTTTTCTGCCGTCTGATAAAATCTTCCATTCTCCTCTTCAATCTGCTGGATCAACCAATCTCGTTCACGTATCCCGCGATTCAATCAAAGTTACCTGTTTTGAACCTTTGGCTGGTAGGGCAGAGCAAACATGCTGCGAATTGATCCCAAAGATTATATTAAATTAAAAGCAACCCCGGTCCCCCATGGATATAGCACGCGGATTCGCGCAGTACGCCATTCTCAGGAGCTTTTCGACGAGTGTACCGAAAGAAAACAAAACGGTCGAAAGAGAGTCCACGCGCGCACAGAGCGATCGTGCTGAATACCGTCTTGCCCGGCTGAGGGAAGGGCGGAGGGGGGGGGGGAAGGGAATATCGCCGGCGAATAAGAGTAACCAATTTCCTTACTCTCCCGGGAGAACGAGAGCGCGGAACGAGGTGGAGGAAAAGACGAACGGCGCCCGACTTGGCCGATAAAACGAGGAGGCGGTTGAAACGAAAATCCCCGAACAGGGGAGAAATGTGTTAGACGCCGGGGCCATTCGTCCGCGCTATCCGCGAGGATCAAACCAACAACGTGCTGTTAATTTCTAAAGAGTCCCGGCGCCGCGCCGCGCACGCGGCAGCGACTTCCCTCGCCGGCATCCCGCGATTTTCATCCGCGAGGGAATAGCCCTCACGCCGAACCGCCTGAGAGGAAGATGAAGGTGTAAGGTGCACGAGAAGAGAGGAAGGCTCGGAGAGCCGCTAGATGTACACTATAGAGGAGGAGAGAGACTCGGGTCGATACCTGTTGATACTTCGTTCAAATAAAAGTCAACTTGTACGGCGAGTGGTTTAAAAGTCACACACACACACACACACACACGCGCGCGCGCGCGCGCGCAGCCTGGCTAACGTGCTCTTTACCCCACACTCCCGTCCTTTCTGCCTCCCCCCCCTTGCCCACCCCCCTTTCTATAGAGTTTCTTTCACGGCGACGGCTGTAGTTCGCGAGGACGAGAGGGTGGTCAGAGAACCGGTCTCGAGTACACGGGAAGTTGGAGCGACTTTTGCGGATACTGCTCGCGAGAAAGGCTGTTCCTTTTGCCATTTTATTATTTTAACGCTCCTGATACCAACACATCCGCCTTTCCTCGCTTCCAATGCGAAATCGAGTTTCGTGTCTCTAATGGAAACCCGTAATATGTTCCGATTGAAAATCTATCAAAATGGGATTCGTATTCTATTTTGTATATGGATTTTTTTCCTCCTTTCAAATACGTAAACTCTTGTTTTTGGGTAAACGAAATAAATATTCACTCGATCCCGTGTTTCGGGGGAATTTCAGGGGATTTCTGCATGTGTACAAATGCAAATTCGGTTATGAAAGTTCGGTTCTAAAATAGTTAACCGTGTACACACACGCACGATATCGTACACGTTTATGATTGCCGCCGACTCTCTGCAATCGTTGATCTATCGCGCTAATTACGTAGGCACGCTTAGTAATTCAAGAATTGATTGTTATATTGCAATACCAATCCGCCTTTGTGATCAAATGGCGATTGAATGGCACACAATACGTGCAGAATGTATTAGTCTGATTGAATGTAATCAAACATGTCCCTCCAACACTGTCAATAGCTTAAAGGATAATTAAAACAGATTCCGATTACTCACAGTCATTCAAGATAAATTAATCGTTAATAAATTATTATCGCACAATTTTTATCTGGAGAAGAAAAGCTCGCGACAATAATAAAAAGGTACCTGTTGGTTAGCGCGCGTCATTTAGTGATGCATAGTAAAGTTGCAAAATCCGTTCGTAACAAATGCGAGAATTATCCTGGACAGGGGATTGCCAGTGATCATAATTTTAAATTTAATCAATCTCCGCATATCCCTCTTTCAATTAATAATCTGCCGAGCAACGACTACGTCTCAAACTGAATGTCGATACCCGCGAGTTTTTGAATCGATCCCTTAATCGCTTCCCCTGTCAAATCCACTTCTCTCAATTTACGGGAATTGTTGCGGCACTTAATTCGCCGGACAGTTTCCCCGCAGATGCTGCCCCTGCTCAACTTCCTTTTATCCTTTTTCACGCAGGACGAGAAAGGCGAGCTCCGTGCAGGCAAGTCAACCAGGTGAAATTCATATTCAATATGCTTTGATCACTTACCCACGGAGAGATCCGGGATTCGCCCCTCGGCTACGAAGGCTGGATGCATATCTTCGTAGACCGCACTGATATAGGAAGGATTAAAATGCAACCAGGCTCCGTCCCTCATTCTTCGCCGCGGCCTCCAAAGCATTCACCATCTTGGATATTAAAACTGCAAAACAATCGAGATACCGAGATGAATAGACTGCGTTGAAGCAGCGAATTCGTTGATCCGAATATTCGGCGATACGCCGTATTGTCGCAATCAAAAATCATACAATGTGCGTGAGATTTCTTCTGTCATGAATTTTGTATAGAAATGGATAACGGAAGACAGCGCGAATTCAAATCTGGTTGAATAGCATTTGCAATCGATTCTGTATCTTTCGTACGAACGATGTCGGTTTCTCATATCAGTGCTAATTCTCTTTACATTTTTTATGTGGCATACACATATGGCTTGTACTAAAAATGTTACATTATCTCATTAATGTCAGATTTACTTGGGACGACAAGCTGTAATTTATGTTTTCCTTTCCTTGAAGAATTTATGAAAACTTTTTATTTACAAAACGCAGAAATTGCAGAGGAAAATATATCTGCCTTATATTATACGTAAATCGTTAGATATCCAAATTAAAGAAATAAATTCGGATTAAATTTTTCGATAAATACGTCCATAAAATACAGGATTATAAATTTATTTGACTTTTGAAAGTTAGATTCAAATAATTATGCAATTCTCAGAAAAATTTCTGAGGGACACGTATGTTCTTTAAAAATATGTGACTAACATTTATTAATTCGTAATAAATCCTCGCTTTATATTTTATCATCAAATAATTATTATATATTATAATTTACGACGTAAGAACTATTTAAAGTAACGGAGCAAAGAATCTCATTGCGCGTATTTGAAACACTTCGAAATTTTATTGGCGGCATGTTCCGTCCATGCAAGTATAATTTCACACTTTTAACGCCAAGCGAAAACTGCACGCACATCGTTCCATTTGTGCTGCATTTTATTACAGCATAATGCATAACGTCTTAAAAATAAATTTTGTAAAGGAAAACCTCCTCAAGATATTCTTAATAAAACTTATTACGGATGTAAAAGCTAAGCTCGTGTTGACTATTCAATTGCTCGGGCGTTTTGCCACGGCATCCTCATTAAAAATAATCAATATTGCGATATTAACAAATGCCCTCGCGGCTTTACGTGCTGCCCGTCGCCGTCGCGACTTCACCGCACTTTCCTCGTTTCCCTCTTAAAAATCAATACGCCACACCAGTCACACCACATCGCGGAATTATAGAAGGCACTTTTAAATGCAGCACGTCAGCTCGTAGATTCAATGGAAATAAACTACACCATTCGTTAAATTGCTAATTGCCGGAGCAAGAATTTTTGTGATATTAAAATATTAATTCTGTTTTATACCAAATGTATATAATTATATTTTTATATATACCACATATTTCTCATTGCTTGATAGCGTATAATTTATTTTTTTTTTTTATATATGCTTTATACAAATTTCAATCTCGAATTTTATCGATGAGCAGTGAATCAAGCTTTGGGTATTCGTGCATAAATTTATTGATGCGACCGTGCGGAAAACTACAGATGAAAAACAATGCGGAAGAAAAGTTTTTGAACTGTGAGTAATACGGGATTCAAAATTATGTCCATTGTTTTATGATGACGAAATTCATGGATGGGAACGAAAGCGGAGAATTCAATTTTCCGGGGCGAGAATTCTGGCACCCACTGCAATCGTTTTCTGAAATATACTCTACGTTGACCGTAAAAGCCGGAAGTGAAAAATTTCTCTCGTTTCGATGATCCTTCAAAATTCTCTATGCTCTTGTATTATTTTTACCTTTTACAAACAAATATCTGATATATAAAACTTATACTCGATATGACATTAAATGTATATTTTATTAGCAAATTAATATTTTGTATAAAACGTAAAAATAACATTTAAAAAAAATATTCCTATAAATATGCATGTTTACAACGTGCTTGCAGATACCTCGTTAACAAATAAAATTATAATTCGTCTACTCGTGACAGTAGCTTGTTTATACATATTCATCAACCCAACATGGTAAAATTACAAAACTAATAACGCAAAATAGTTCCCATTATCTCGTAGAATTTTTACCATTCGCGAAACCTCTTTTGTCCTGCACATTCATTCATCGTCATTATTTTTCTGTGGAAGAATGCCTAGGATTCAGCCGCACCTCTTTCGCGGCGAAAATCCTCGCAGCATCGGTGTCGCCTATTTCGAGTGGAAATTGTCGGGCCGCGGGTCGACCCAAATAAAAAGGAATCGCGCATAAATTAATTCGCCGAGTCGAGCGGGGAGTCCTTTTTCTTCCGCCACATTGGAAGAGCAGACACGTTAACTGGCGGAACCGAAAGAAGGGTGGCTGACGCCCAAATCGGCTAGGATTCGTTGGTGTGGTGGTCGGAAGTCGGTGGTGGTGCTGGTATGTTGGATGTCGAAAACGGTTCAGCTCGAAGTGGAAAGGGGCGGTAGAGGGCGAACTCGGTGGGTTGGCGGCAGGCCATAAACCTTTCCCCGCGTAATCTGGATAGCTTTATAGATTTCTAATAAAATAACGCATTAAATCAGGCGCGGCTCGACTGATTGGGCCACCGAACGAAATCGAGTCTACGCCCGTGACGTGCACGTATTGCAATCGAACCGACATTTATTATCCCGTCCAACGACCACTAAATATTGGATGATCTTCCGCACGAATAGAAAGCACACATAAGTGCTCGGTGAAGGCAAAAATGGTGAATTTCCTGGATGGTAGCGAATGTATCTAATGCTCATTCGAATTTTGTTTGGAAAGAATCGAAGACTCGTGTTTCTATGTTTACCCAATGCATCTTATGGGATAAATGCAGATTAAAATAAAATTACCAAGAAAATTTACGCGATAACTAACACTGCGAACACAAGTGTCCTCTATTTTACAAAATTTCCATTTACAAGCACATTTCAATAAAAATTGAAATATATAAATCGTATATGTATATTAGATATATCTATATACACATGGTTTGAAGCGTAAATAATATTATCAAATATAGTTTAAAAGCCATTATGTATATTTTACTTGGATATAACAAAATATTTTAAAAATACAAAAAAAATAGAAAGTAACAAAAAATAACGAATTGTTTTTAATATGCAATTCAATTTATTTTCCTCTCTTTGTCCTCTCCGTACAACATGTTTTATTGAATTGCAGTGAGTCGAGAAAAATTTACATTTGCTGCATAGGTAAACATACGCGATATTTATACATGTATGCGTGTAGTTCAATATTATTGAAGTATATATTTATACTTGCTCGTTATTATAAACATTATAAACCTTTTTCATATACGCACGTCACCAATTTCCAAATACAATTTATCTAAAAATTGCTTCGTTCAGGAGCATTGATGCACCGTTAGTTATATCGATGACATTATTAAACAAAAACGGCGTCCGCACTTGGTGAAAGAATTTGTTCTTTTAATTATGCTGCATTGATAATTAGTTACGAAGTTCGTTGCATTCGTATGAAACACGGCGAGAGCTTTGTACGAAAAATTTGGAAATTAGAATTCTTATTCATAAATAATTCTAACGTCAAAACAAATTGATAGAGAAAAAAAGAAAACAGATATATTTCTATTTAGCAGTGTTTAATTAAAAATTTATTTTTTTTCTCAATTATCTCGATTTGGAAAATAATCCTATTAACGACATCGACCAATGATAATCCTCTGACATTCTAAATCTAATCTTGAATTTTCCTTGAATCTCGGGATAAACTTTAAAATGATTTATATTTTCAACAAGGAATCCTCATCCACTTTTCTTAAACGTTGATACTTATAATCTCTTATCTACCTAAATTAAGTTCAACATTCTCTTGTTTAAATATATGTAGATAAATTAATATCCTTTAACAATCTTTTAATCATTGCCTGCCTTACATCTTTATCAAACTGAAATAAAACTAATCAGTCTTAATCGAGCTTAGATGCCTTCTACTCTTCTTACCTTTTTGCTGAAATTGACGAAGTTTACGATGAAGTTTAAGATGAGGCTTAAAGTAATTGTTAAACTGTTCTTTATATTAAACTTTGTTATAACAAGATTAATAAATAGATTAAGGAATGCTTTCATATCCATCTTATCGTAACAGCACGCGTGCAAGAAAGGACGGGAATTAATATGTCCATTTATTGATAAACTCCTAATTTATCATGTTGGAATTTTCGCGAAGCGAAGTTGTTGGTAAGAATTGAAATCCAGAACGATTATTTACCATACTGAACAACGCTGTCATGTGTGAATTCACTTCAAGACGAGATGCGCGCGCGAGTGGATGGAATAAATTTCTATATCAAGATTCGGATAAATGCATCCGAAGCCGCGAGCACACTTGCACTCTGCGTAGAATCCAACTGTAAGAACATGACCTGTATCCTCTGTTTCGCTGTTATATTTGTTTCGAAACCGATCACGAGATTCTCAAGGAAATTCCGAAATACCTATTTTCATGCTTCACGTGATAAATGCAACATGTATCGACTTGTTAGAAGCGTATTGAATTTTGCAATATATATATTTACAGTACATTTATATATATATATATATACATATGTATAAATATATATATATATTAATTTATTTATTTATTTATCTTCTATCTACATATTATAATATAATATATTGCATTCAATTTGTATTTATAGTAACGTGTTGTCAACCACCCGAATTACAGTTGTCTCAACACTGGACACATTTTGTTCATTGATATTATTTTAAAGAGTCCAAAGAAAGTACATCATATTTAAGTACATTCAACTCAACTCAATATCCTACGTTAACCGCTGCGTTTTAATCAACGTTTAAGACAGAAATGTCGATAGTCTTCTCCGTTCGCAATTTCAGAAAGACGTAAAGACTAAGTTTGGCGCAAAGTTTCCACTCTTACACCTATGTCTAAAGCAAATACGATAGCTAGGAAAGCTGCTATCAAATTTAATAAGAAGAGCCTGTGAGACGCGGACACTATGTGATATCATATATTCGATATCCAGGATCTGCTTCTTTTAATATCCGTGAGAATTTTCTTTAACGCAAA